TACTGGCTTGCTCCCTAGTTTTTCCATCTTTTTCTTTGTTTTTTCGTCGCGGGTTCCGACCAATTCAGGTGTATAGCTGGGGGGATGGCAACGCCTTGGGAGGCGCTAGGGTAACGTTGGAGGGGGGCACGTTCAGGGACAAGGAGGCCCGGGAGTTGGGGGGGGCATTCGTGCCCGGGGGGGACCCCAAGGGGGGGCCCGGGCCGGGGGGGTATTTCTTCAACAACCCCCCCAAGGGAGGAAGCGAGAAAGGACACCAGGGGCGGTGTCCCTTCCCTTGTTAGGTTTTTGGGACGTTCCCCAACGGGCCAACCCCCCGAGATTTGGGATTTCGGCCAGGGACCCGGGGGGGGGGGGGGGGGCGGGGCGAGGTTTCTCGTTAGATGTATGCATGGGTTGCATTACAACGGGCTTGCAGTACATGCGTGCACAATCGTATTATTCCCGCGTAAGCCGCGATGTTTTCTCGCGCTCCCGCAACGCTGGTCTTGAACCAAACACACCCCTATTATCGTTGTGAGAACCGCTGACGTGTACATTCGAAAAAGCGCACGAGCGAGCAACCCGGGTCTGCCGTTCATACAGGAAAAGAGCACGGCGTAGGCAGGAACCAACCTCCCTCAGAGGAATCAGAGGGAAAACGGTTGCCGTCCATGCCCCCGCAATGACTGGGCTAGGGTTAAGGGTGAACACACCGATGAGTTTGCAGCCGTGGCTCCGTTGTGAGAGGGTGGTGTGGTGTGTTACTCTTATCCCGAAATATCGGGGTCCTGTATCTTCCAAGGTGCTGCTGCGTGCATCGGAGAAGCGATGGTCATCGGGCTAGAGCATGGAGAGGGCGCGCAAAGGAGTATGCAAGTTGGTTTTAGCTCACCACCCCAAAAGTGATGAGCACTTGCAAGATGCCGTAAATATATCCTTAGGTAGTATTTTTTACCACACAAGCGACCCCTGTATCTCGCAAGCTGTTCGACAAGAGACGAGGTTGTCCGCCGATCCCGGGTTTCGCGTCACCCCCGCCCCCCCCCCCCCCCCCCCCCCCTTTATTAGGTTCTACGGGGGCTTCATCTTTCTGGAGGAAGAGGCTAGTCTTTCTTGCGAAGGAGCCACGATCAGGGACCACTCTGCCGGGGACCAGGGAGGAGGCATCTACGGCCGAGACGCCGCTTGGGTGAACTCCAGCTGTGACTTGATCGGCAACGCAGCGCCGCAGGGGGCGGCGGTGTACCTGACCCACACCGTCATGGCCGCCAACTTTGATAACCACGAAGTCACCGACAACGTGGCGTCGGGGGGCAGCGTGTTCTACGCCACCGACACCGCCCTCTTCGCGACGGGGCTAAACTTCCAGTCCGGGGTGGGCCTGCAGGAGGACTCTTCGAACCGCGCGATACAGCTGGAGGGCGAGACAACCCTTGTCGCGGAGGGGTGCGTCTTCGGCGGCTGGATGGGCGACACCGTGATCCGCAACGCCAACACCGCGCCGGGGTCCCTCACGCTGGACAGCTGCGACTTCAGCGAGAGCGCGGCAGTCATGGTGGTCACCTCGCCCCAGTCCGACACCATCATCCGCAACGCCATCGTCGACCACCTCACCATCGAGAACGCCGCCCTGGTGAACGACTCCCTCGTGCTGGTCGACAACGCCTTCGACTGCGGGACCCCGGGCATCTGCGCGGCCGGGGAGTGCGTCGACAGCGTCCTCGGCGTGCTCTGCGAGTGCCTCTCGGAGGGCTACTGCCTCGACGGCGGGGGCGCGCTCTCCGTCGACGTTCTCACCGCGCCGCCGAACGTTACGTACAGCCCGGACCCCGTGTACTTTGAACTCCTCGTGTCCGCGTCGGCGGACGGGGTTACGCCCGCCATCTGGAACCTTTCGCACGAGGCCGAAGACCTCGGGCTGCAGGTCCTCCCGTCTAGCGGTATCCTTCCTCCGGGGGAAAACGTAACGGTCGCCGTTACCGGTAGCCCCCTGCAGGACGACGTCGGGGGCGTGCTGGTCACCCGTTTCGTCGTCACCTCCGCGGGGAGCGGCACCGCGGAATCATCATCATCATCGACGGGGGTGGAGTTGGAGGTGGAGTCGGCGTTCTACCTGTGTCAGGCCTTCGAGTACGCCATGCCGGTGGACAGCGAAGACGACGACGACGACAACGACCCGGACGCGGCCAGCGTCGTGTGCCTGCAGTGCGCGAACTTGGACGGTGCGGAGGGGCTGGACTGCGAGTCCCCGGGGGCGACGCTGGCTTCGATGCCCGTGCGGGAGGGGTACTGGCGGTCGAGCCAGGAGTCTCTGGTGGTCCACGGGTGCCTCCACTCCGACGCTTGCGCCGGTGCCACGCAGATCTCGAGCTCGGACGACTACTGCAAGGATTGCTACGAGGGGCCATGTGAGCGCGCGAAGGGAACCGTTGCGGGCCATTTGTGTTCAACGCCGTCGGGCTTAAGTATTTTGCAGTAGTCTACGCAGGCTTGCCAATGTAAATGTAGGCAAACATGTTGTGTACAGTATAGAATCGGCTAACTTAGGGTCAGGGTCTACGTGCCCACTGCCTGGTCGTTTTTCGTAATTACCTTACTCATTAACCTTAAGTCAGTCCGCGTTAAGCCTTGACAGCAGTAGACCGCAGCGCTCCTCTCCTCCTGGTGTACAGCAAGCACTCACACGAAATGGAACCTGTTGTTTTGCGCATCCCTGGAGATCTCGTTTGCTCTGGTGGACGTATAAAAGTCTACACTAGGTTTTATCGTAGTCCAGGGTCGGGTTTCAAGGCCTTTTGGTTCGACTAGTTTGAAACGTTCATGTTCTTAGGCCCGGCCCCTTCTGCTGACGTGGTACACAAAGTTAGCATTTCGTCCGTCGCTGAGTGTTTCCATCTTACTGGAGGCCTGACAGAACAATTTTGATTTCCCTTCTCCCGCCCCGTCCGTCCCTGACGGCTGCCGACCCTACCGTGCGCCATCACGCTTCCCAGACTGTGCCGTCTGCGCGGAAGGTTGCTGCGAAGGCTCCTCCCACACCTGCCACCGGTGCTCGGGGATAAAGTCCCGGCTGCTCATGTTCGCGGGCATCGTCTTCGGGGTGACCATCGTGCTGTTCCTGGGCGTGGCGATCGTGTTCCTCATCGGGGGCCTGGACGCCGTCGACAGCGTGCGCTTGAGCATGTCGAGGAAGCTCTCCATCTCCGGGAAGCCCCGCGGCGGCATCTCCCGCTCCCACCACGAGGGGACCAGCAGCATCAGCAGCAAGAGGCCGTCCGGGCGGAGCAACTTCGGGGGGGACGACGACGACGACGATAGCGGTGGTCGCGGTCGTTCCGCTGCCGTGGGCAACGCCGCCGTCGATGAGGAGAAAACACGCACCGCCGCGGTGGCCGGGCTCGGGCCTGGAGACTACTCGCCGGAGCGGCGACTATCGGCGGCGGCGACGGCGGCCGCCATCGACAGAGCGCGGATTCTCGAGGCCGGCGCACGGATGTCGGACGCCGGAGGCGAGAGCGCGCGGACGGGGTGCTGCGGGCTCGGCGGGAGGATCAAGCGCTGGGTGTCGCTGCTGCCGATGGACAAGCTCAAGATCCTGGTGGTGGTGTGGCAGATCTTGACGGTTTTTCCCAGCATCACCGGGGTGCAATTCCCGCCTTCTTACTCGCGGTTTCTCTCGTGGATCGACGTCGTGAACCTGGATGTGGGACACGTGTTCACGGCGTCTTGTTTGCTCCCCTCGGTTAGCTTCTACCAGAGGCTGCTGCTGACGACGCTGACGCCGATTGGACTGGGGTGTGTGCTGGTGCTGACGCACTGGATGGCCAAGGAGAGGGCGGGGATCGGGTCCGCCAGCGTTCTTGCGAGGAAGGCGGCGTGGTCGAGGCACATGGCGGCCGGGTTGCTCCTCACATTCTTGGTGAGATATGTAGATTTCTCCAAGCGGTGCTACACCTTATGAGTCCTGCTCTCGCTGGCTGTGCGTGTTTGAGCAGTGGAAAATCTTTCATTTGGCGCTATTTAGCGGAGCATGTTCGCTCAGACTTTGTACCAAACGTGAAAAAGGGTCTGAGCGATGGAAAATCTCTCATTTGGCTCTGTGTATTTTGTGAACATGTTCGCTTAGAATCGACGAGCTTGTTGGTGGCCGAGCAGGTATGGTTTACCTTTGGCCTTTTCGATGGGTAACTTGCTTATTAGATGAGTCCCGGCAGAATGCGAAGAAGGAGGCGCTGGGTATAGGCTAGATTGTTTTTTGTGAACTTACCAGCAGCAACTCCCCGTGCATGTTGGCCGTCGGCCTTTGAAAGTTGGTCGGGATGTTGTTCATGCCCCCGAACACGCTCGAACGAGAAAGGACGCAAACAACACATCAGACAACATGAGACCTTAAGCGATGATGAACGTTCAGGTTTTCAAGAATGTCGAAGGCCGTAAGTTTAAGAAACAAATCAGCCCAATATCGACAATAGCAGTCCCCAAAGCAGTAAAAATATTCTTCGCAATGCATTGCGTTGTTTTTTCACCAACATCTATATCGCCTTCGAAGAATCATCAACTGCCAATAACGAGGAACATCTATCTTCCGAAAACCAGCTCGTAGTCTCGTGGTTGCAACAAAGAGTGTTAGACCGGGGCAGTTTTGCACGGTTCCGAAGGTTTGTACATAAGTGCGCCATGTCTGACGCGCGTGCCACGGAACGAATGGTTTGTTGCCCAGGTGTTCACATCGGCCTCCACGATGGCGTTCAAGACCTTCCCCTGCGACGATGAAGCCGTGGAAGGAGAGAGCTACCTCAGGGCGGACTACAGCCTATCGTGCAAGACGGACAAGCACATGTACTACAGGATCTACGCTGGGATCATGATTGTGGTGAGGACCAAGCCGTCGTCACAGCAAGCGTCAAGCCACGCTTGTCTTGGACACTCCAGAAACCGTTTTCCTGCGTGTGAGATCTCTATTTAGCAACACCATATACCCATAAAGACCACGGGTTGGACTAAACGGCACTCGTGCTGTGAGCGCTGATTTGAAGTGAAGAACAAAAAATAAAAAAATAAAAAATAATAAAACGCTGAGAATTATGCCTTCAGTCCTGCTTGTAGACCCCCCTCTAGTTCTAGAACCCTCACCACATACTCCTTCCCCCCCACACGTCGATGGCGTCGCACAGGTATACCCCATCGGCATCCCCCTACTGTACGCGTTCATCCTCTGGATAAACCGAGATTCCCTCAATCCGAGGGTTAGAAGTGAAGCCATCCCGCAGCCGACAGGAGCGGTGGAGAAGAAGGTTTCTCTTGTGCCGGCGAACTACGGAGACGGTCTGCAGGAGAGGCTGGATCAGCGAAGGAGGAACCCGGACCTGGTGCCCTCCATGTTCCTGTGGAAAGACTTCGGTGAGCTCTCCGACCTGCCTGCCGCTTAATGAAGCCGAAATCAACCCAAGCAGACTTGTCAGCGCCTGCTCACTATTTGGTCGGATGGGTTTTGCTCCTGGTTCTTCTATATTTTTATTTTTTGGACCCCGCGACAACTATTGTTGAAGTGGAAATCAAATGGCTTTAGATGGGCTTATAAATGTACACGTAAGTTGAACCATTTCGCCTGTTTTCGTGCTTCGGGGCATCTTTCGCTGGCGGAAGCGAATCTTTTCTAACGCTTCCTCTCGGGGACACGCAGGGGGTCGTAGGTACATTACCGCGCACGCCCGAGGACCGCCAGCCACCCGTGGCGCTTGTGCTTGACTCCCGATGTTGAAAAAGCTGGCTCTCTACCCCGGGGACGTGTCCCGCGGAAAGAAAGCGTTAGCCTTCGTAAGAAATACAAAGAAACATGCTTTACACAAACAGGAAGAGTTTTGTTTTGATTCCTGCGCAACGCTCAAAAGTCCCACAGACTGCTGTGGGCAACACGAATACAGAGTGAATGATTAAACGCTGCGGATCACAGCAGTGGACCTGCGTCGAAGACACCCACTAGCCTAAGAGGGCACGCTCCCCCACACGTGAAAAGTCACGGCGAGAAAAACAAAATCATACCCCGCACATGATGCAAGTTCCAGGCAAGTTCTGCAGGTTGTACGCAAGACCGGCACTACAGTACCGAACGGTATGAACTTGAGATGTAACGACCGCAACGACTATTGGCCATGTCCCGTTGCGTCCCCCCCGGAATGTGAGCCACCTATCTCCCGAAGGGGAGCGTTGTAGTTACCTACAAATTTCCGAAAAACAGCACCAAAAGTGTGTGTGCGTCGTGTTTGTGCCGTCACTCATCGTGGGAGGCGTATGTATGTAGAAGTATATCGGGTCACCAAGGTCTTGTTCTCACGGAAAATGTAAACATAAACATATGCATACAATCACAGAAGAAGACCACCCGTTCAAGAAGAACCCTAATCGAAGGGATGATGAAGACTTTCCAGCGACAACAATTGTTTTCTTTTTTGCTTGTGCGGGATAGGCCCCGACATGTACTACTACGAGGTGATCGAGTGCGGCCGGAGGATCCTCCTTACGGGCGTGCTGATTTTTTTCGCGGCCGGAACGGCCGCCCAGGCGGCCATGGCCTGCATCTTCGCCTTCGTTAGCCTGCTGGGCTTCGAGCTGTTGAGACCCCACCTCGACCCCGCGGACATGTGGCTCTACCGCCTGGTGAGCTGCGGCCTCACTCGGGAGAGATGTCGCTTTAGGGCACCCACCCACCCGTCGTGGATTAATGAAAGGCTCGATTCAAAGAGGAAGAGCGTTGGGAAACGGATGCCATAACTGTTAGTAATGCATAATTTATAATTTTCCTCGGCAGGTTGTTGTCGAAATGGGGGCGGATGAAGAGTCATGTGCAGTAGCAAAATTCTCAAGAGGTCGATGTGGGGGGGGGACGGATACAGAGTCATCCCCGGAAGAAGGCACAGGTGGAAGTCGCGTAGTGGGTGAATTTCATGAACATATGTACGCAACGAAAGGACGCGCGACGTCGGACCTCGCGTGGAAAAACTTTGCTAGGTTTCGACGTGTACAAGAGCGCGATTTACAAGCCACAGCGGCTGATGCCAATGCCGAGGGTATCACGACAGACCCAGGCGCATTTCGAGCATCTATCCGTCATGCGCGTGCCACGCCTGTTTCTCCACAAACTCTTGAAACGGAGTTCTATCAATCGCTCTAACCGCCCCCTTTTCGCCGCTTCACTCGTGCGTGCCTCGCCGTGCTCGTTTTCGTGCCGTTGTCGCTAACTATCACCTCCCTCTCGCAGGGCTGCGTGATCATCTTCCTGAGCAACTTCTTAGCGTGAGTGTGTGTGTGTTTTAGCATCGACCGCGCCAACCGACTGACCAAAGTGAACATATGTCAGTCTCAGTGCGTGTTTGTGTTTGTTTGCTTGTGTTCGTCCCGTGTACTCTGGCGCCAACCAGTCTACACGTCTTTCGGTTTATATATTTAACCTATCAGACGGAGTCACACAAATGGAAGGTCACAAAGAAGCTATTTCGTATTTTTATTTTTTAGGCCCCACATCTCCGCCTGCAGGATTTCCCTTTGAAATACAACACAAATTGTGTCTGAACCCTGTGCGCTTTATTCCTGCGCCGATTTCCCTCTTGGTTGATTTTTACGGGTTTTTCGGAACTCAACGTCTTCGTCAGCAATAGGCTTAATTTAGCGACTGACGGTTGTTTGGCGCCGAAACTCTTTTCCGTCGCTCCAGGCTTTTGATCAAGGTCGACGCCGCCGGGGAGGGCAACCGCGCCGCCCTCGGGGGCATCCTGATCGCCGTCAACGTCTTCCTCATCCTGGCGGTACTGTCGACCTCCTGGTTCGCCACGCAGCAGATGGTAGACGACAACCGCAACGAGGAGAACTCCCTCGCCCTTGCGAAGACCATGCTGACGTTCGAGCAGCGCGTGGCAGACGACGCAAAGGTAGTCCGCGGGAAGAAGCAGATTCCGGAGTCGCCGCTGTCTAGCGTCGGGGCGGTTTCGGGACGCGGCTCCGTCGGACCGAGGCCGTCTGCGGAGGACCAGCAGCAACGCGGCGTGCTGAGCTCCTTGCGCGGCGGGAGCGTGAGCGCCGCCACCGTGAACGCGCTGTGGGAGGCGGGGAAGACCGAGAGCTCTTCGAAAGGACAGGAAAGGCCCGTTTAGAGCCGACTTCCTGACCCTTGACAAGAAGTTGCACGTTTTGGGTCGTTTTACATGAATCAAGTTGGCTTTTGGGTTGTTCGTGGTTAGGTTGTTTATATGATATTCTGCTATTTTTACTTGAGATTGTTAGTAGTTTGCACGGTGTTCGTAGAAAATGCTGCTTGGGACAGCGCAAGGCGCAGACGGCGACGGGCTGGCAACGCAAGGCGTTTCGGGGGGAGTTTTCAGCCCACCCATCTAGATCACACGAGTGTTTTTGTATCATTGTGTCTTTCCTCTGCCTGATGTTTGTGTGGACCGTGTTGCTGCTTTTCAGGCTTCGCGTGGCGCTGGTCCTCCTGCATGAATGAGTCACTAACGACGTGCTTTGTATTTTGGTGCAGTCTATCTTTGTATCGGCGTTGTCCCTATGTAGGAGATGCCGCGCCATGATGATATCTGGGGGTGACTGCACGGCAGCTAGTCCAGACAAATTCGGTATCTCGTGTCTGTTAGTTGTGGATGGCCACCGCCATGTGGCACGTTTGGGGGTGGGTGTGTGTGTTTGTGTGAAATGGCCATGTTGCAAGTGTGGGGGCGAGTGTGTGTGTGTGGAAATGCTGATGTGTGTGGTTGTTCCCGGAACGTTTGCGGTCTACAGTACGGCCGGAAACGAGCAGCACTGATTGAATCCAGTGTTGCGCCCATAATGTCCCTTCGATGGCGTATTTCCTTCGATGATATGTGTGTTGTGCTGATGTTGTGGTAGAATCAAATGGTGCGAGTGTGTTGTGCCGTGTCCATGTGTGTCACAGTAGTTGGCGCTGATTTGAGACCCACAAAATTTATGATAGATTTCTTGGTCATCATATGCCGAACAGGGTTTGACCTGTCCCTACGCCGTGTCTGGTAGGGCTTCAATGCCCACCCAAAGCGATGCCTGTGGGTAAACAACGTTGCGGTTGTCGCAACGAGGAGAATGTACACATGTGGGTAGGGACGAACTTGTAGTTTACCAGTCCTTGCTGGTGTGGACAATCCAGCCAAGGCAAAGGCTGGAGGGATCACCTCATGTCCTCACCGAGTTCGTAAACTTTCCATACATTTACACACCCGACCAGCGTAGTGCCCGAATCAACATACATTGAAACCATCGCACATGATTCTTCACTATCCATCGCCTTGTACCCCTGCCCTTTGGTCCTACCATGATTTCTTTCACCAGTTTTTTCTGTTAACGGTCGCAAAACCCAAGCCTCCAAGTACGAAATTCCCAAGCTCTACTGTTACTTGGTCTCTCCAGACAAACAGTCTAGTCAATAACGAAACGTGTCTTGGAGAGTTGTTTGATCCGTTCCGCACAACTAAAAAACATTGGCTTCTTACTCTAGGAACGGACTCACAATACGGAACGATTGTTTCGCCCACAAAGGAAAACCATTGAATTCCACCACGGTACGGCGGAGAGATAACGAACGGTAGCCACACGTCCCTCCGGAATCCCGAAAGACCCAAACCAGTCTAATCTTGACAGGCAAAGGCAGAGGAACATTCGTCGGGCGGACGGATCCCGGTTGGATTTCACCGTTTCCAGGGCGTTAACCACGGTCTTCCTTCATGCACTTCTCCTTCTCGGGTGCATGCCGAGGGAGCCATCTCGATTCTTGACGGCATTCGTGCCGACTTGTTCTGTAGAGGGTTTAATCAGTTCGCTGCAGAATCGTGCGCCATGCTGGTAATTCGTGTGCCATTATTTATGTAAGCGTAGACCGGTTTAAGACAACAACAACAACAACGTACTCGACTGTCCATGGCATCGGGAGTGGGAAGTAAACATCGCAAGAGGCGGAGACGTGGCACTCCCCCCAGACCGACCTTCAAAGCTCGATGGCTACACAACCAAGAGCGCGCGGACAGAGTCCGATACGTGTACGAAAAGCTTGTGACGAGATATTTCAAGAACCACTATTACATTGTTGGAGTTGGAACAATCTTTGTTGTGGATCTATCCAGAATAGCAAAATGGTCTAGGGGGGGTGCCATCTGTCCACCTCTTACTGAACGGTAGTTGAGAGGTGAAAATCCAATGCTGGGGAGCTTAAACCGTGTATCTTGGCAGCGTGTGCTGTGGCCAGCAAGAATTGGGCCAGCCGACCCCGTACCAGCGCTGCGGCCGCGTTCCCTCCCAAATATTACGGCCAGAGTGCGCTGGTAAATGGATTTCGAGTCCAACAATGTTGTTCGTCAAAATATGAAAGTCGAGCTACAGGCCCCCCACAGCAGCTGCCGTGGTACATGTTCCGGGTGTGACGGCGTGCTGAGGACGTCATGCGCTGGGCAGGCTTCTGTAACCAACGTGTACTACTGCACTCACTCCAGCACCACCACAGCAATACAATCAAACTGTTCATACGCACGCATAGTCTAAACGAAACATGTCAAGCCGACGTCCGCTGATTGAGACCCGTAACGATTGTCATGTAGCTCTGCCCTAGTCCCAGTCGCCTCCTCAGCAAGTTCTATTCCTGTTCTGCTTCAAGTGCGTGGCTTTGGACCCGAAACAAATCCAATTCGAAAAGAAACGCGTATCCGTCAAAAAGAATTGAGTGTTGAAGCGTTTCCACAGAAGAAATCGATCCCCACGACGAAACACTGACCCTGACCGGCTAGTCGGGGGGGGGGGGAAGCTACACGTCATTGTTGGTGTATTGACTGTTCAGCCCTTTTCCGATGAGAACGAGAGGGGGGGGACCAACAGACAGACAACGAGGAAGCCTAACCAAAACGTCTCCTCCCGTGAGTACACAACCGGAGCCAAAACCGAAATGTGGTTCTCGCAACTCCCTTTTCGAAGCACAAAAAATGTCATACACAACACTGATAATTTAAACATGGCCGAATTTGAGGGGTTTCCAAGTTTCGAACTTGCGCCCGCGTTAAACTGGGAGGTAAGTCTCGTTGCCGAATGGCAATGTTTACATTCGGAGGTTAAGGTACGTATGCACGCCGTGTTTTCCCGCAGCCTGGGGGTGCCACCCTGGACGAAACAGCCCCCTTGCGGCTGATGCCACGCGCTTGCCAAATCTCAACATCACCTCCAACCGGAAGGCGCTTGGAACATAACTACACGGGTGAATTTTGCAAATCTACACCTCCAAAATAGCCCGCATGGATGTCTACATGTATTGAAGATCCTTGCAGCGGGTTGCTCCAGTCAGTCAGCTTTCCCCGCCGACAGCGGCACCGCCGGAAGAGGGGAGCGCGGAGGAGGTCGCTGGAGCCCGCCCCTCTCGAGCGAGCCGGGCGCTTTTCGCGGCCACCTGCTCGAACGTCAGCATGGTCTTCGCCAAGGCTACAGGGTTCTCGTTGTCGCGGGAGTCGTCCACCGACTGCTGGGTGGCGAACCAGGTTGAGAAGAGGACGGCCAGGATGAGGAAGATGTTGATCGCCACCATGATTCCCCCCAGGACGGAGCGACTGCCTTCACCCGCCGTATCTGCCTTTATAAGCAGCCTGGACGGAAGGGAAAACACCGAGTTGATGAGCTCCTTCCCCAATATTCTTCTTGGCCTTTTCTACGTTGGCTGAAGCTGAGCGTGGCGTGAGCAACAAACGGGGACCTAACAACAGAAATATCTGCAACAAAATTAATGTTGTGGTATGGTTATACTCACGCCAAGAAGTTGCTCAGGAAGATGACCACGCAGCCCTGAAAAGCGGTGACGAGTGCCAATGCCGAAACGGACCCCGGGAAACGACAAAAGAGAAGCCGGGCACGTACGCGCGTGCAACGGGGAGGGAGAGGTTAGAGCCGGGAACGCTGTGAGTCAGTTATTGGCTTCAAGACGAGGCGCTGAGAGGCTGTTTTGCACCGCCAGTCTAGTTCTATGGAGGGTGAGTGCGTGAACAATCACACTAAAGCACCAAAGAAGGAAAGCATGCGTCCCGCCCGTATGCTCGCCGATGCTCGGGGGTTATGACTGAAATAAAAATCCCGAAAATAACTTTCACGAGCATGATATAAAGAGCAACATGAATCCTCCCAGAACATGCCATGCTGTTAACGAAGCTCCCTCCCTCCCTCCCTCCTCTCTCTCTCTCTCTCTCTCTCTCTCTCTCTCTCTCTCTCCCTTTCTCTCTCACCAGGCGGTAGAGCCACGAGTCCGCGGGATCCAGGTGGGGTCTCAACAGCTCGAAGCCCAGCAGGCTCGCGAAGGCGAACATGCAGGCGATGGCCGCCTGGGCCACCGTGTGCGGGGCGATGAAAATCAGAGCCCCCGTCAGGAGGATCCTCCGGCCGCACTCGATCACCTCGTAGTAGTACATGTCGGGACCTGTGCAAGCAAGTACAGAGGGGAGTCAAGAGTGTGGAACCCTGAACGGCATCGATCATCCCATCGGACAACAAGGGCTCGGCGGGAAGAAAAGACCCTGCTGCACGGAACAGAGCAACGCTCGGTTTGCTTAACACGCGTGTTGATCCATTTCACGTTGAAGAACTCCTTTTTACCAAAGTCTTTCCACAGGAACATGGAGGGTACCAGGTCCGGATTCTGCCTGCGCTTCTCCAGCCTGTCCTGCAGCTCTTCTTCCGTTTCCCTTGGACCCTCGCTCATTTCCCCATCCAGCTCTAGACCGGTGCTATAGTATGCCCGTGGGTTGAGGGAGTCTCGGTTTCTCCAGAGTATGAAGGCGTACAGGAGGGGGATGCCGATCGGATACACCTGAGGGCCGGTCGTGGTGGTTGGGAGATATCAACGGGAAGACTCCAGCAAGCGAGGAGGTTCATGGCCACGGCTGCGCACACGGTTTTTGCAGAGGAACGACTGCGGCGGACGGATACCTGAGGGCATGTTGTGGTACAAACCGATGGGATCGCTGCCTCACACCGATCTTTGGGTAAAAAGCCCCAGGCGTTGTACGTGAAGCTTTGACCACGGACAGAGCTTTTCTCTGCTGTGTCTCACCGCGATCATGACCCCAGCGTAGACCTCGTACCACGCATGCTTGTTTGTTTTGCACGATATGCCGTAGTCTGCCCTGAGGAAGCTCTCTCCCTCCACCGCTTCATCGTCGCAGGCGAATGTCTTGAAAACTATCGTAGAAGAGGAGGTGAATACCTGCAAAGAGCAATCATAATATCATCACCATGGTGGAGCATACCAAAATGTTTTAGACTCCCGAGGTCCTGGTGTCAAAACGTGCCCAGCCAGCCAAGGGGATGACCGAGAAAGTTTTGTGTGAAGCCCGCAGAGTATGTTCCTGCTTCAACGCTCGCTCCTTCTGCTCGCGTGTAGTCTGCGTACAACGCGAGTCGCACTCTTCCAGAGAGAAACCCATCTCACCAAGAACGTGAGCAGCAATCCTGCCGCCATGTGCCTCGACCACGCCGCCCTCCTGGCAAGAACGCCGGCCGACCCGATTCCTGCCGTTCGCTTCGCCATCCAGTACGTCACCACTAGCACCCCTCCCAGCCCGATAGGTGCGAGCGTCGTTAGCAGCAGTCTTTCGTAGAACGTCAAGAATGGGAGGGCGCAGGAGGCCGAGAAGATGTGGCCGACATCGAAGTTGACCACGTCGATCCAAGACAAGAATCGAGAGTATGAGGGGGGGTAGTCTACCCCCGTGATGCTGGGGAAGACCGTCAGGATCTGCCACACCACCACCAGGATCTTGAGTTTATCCAGCGGCACCCGCGACGCCCAGCCCTTTATCTTTTCGCCAAGCCCGCGAGACCCCGACTGTCCTCCCGCCACAGCCTCGGCAGGTGCTGCGTCGGCATCGGCATCAACTGGAGGATGGCTACCGCCACCGCCGCCGACAGAAAATCGTTCACAAAATGCTGCGTCCTTTCCTGCGATGGCAAGCGGAAGTACCAAGTTCGCGTCGGAGAAATCAATGGACCCGTCTGATTTGTCCTCGCCGTTGTCGTACCCAAACAAATCGTCCGGTGCGTCGAAGCCGCCACCGGTGATCGGCCCTCCGACCTCCCCGGAGTCAAACTCTACCGCGGGGTCATCAACTTGACGACTCGCGCTGATATTTCTGGCCGACGCGGATCTTTCCGGCAAGGTCGGGCCGGGAGGAGGAAAAGGTTGTTCAGCCCGCGTCGTTGTCTTGCCCGGGACGCGTAGAGAGCGGGCCACGGATCCGCGGACGCTCGCGACGGCGTCGAGACCCCCGATGAGGAACACGGCCGCGAAGAACAGCAGCAGCAGGGCCACCAGGAAGAAGACGGAACCCGCCGCGATGAGGAGTCGGGCCTTAGACCCAGTGCAGGAGTGGCACGTGTTGCCGACGCCCTTGCCGTACCCTTCCGCGCACACGGCGCAATCTGCGGGTGGTGGTGGTGGGAGAAAAGGAAGTCAGGCTTTGCTATTGTGGTGAGGCACCTGAAAACCTCCGCGGTGTAGTTTTGTGAGATATGGTGAAGGTAGGCTACGAGCACGTAGGCGGGAGCGGGTGCAGCGGCGACCGCTCCCAAGGCCAGAGACAAGTAACAAGTGTCAAATTCACCCCGTGTCATGCCATGAAGGCCGGTATGCTTGCCCGCACTATTTGCGTGAGCCACCACCTGCTGGGTACAACATTTTTTGGCCTTTTTTTAGCTTGGTACTCACATGGACCCTCGTACCCCCCGTCGCAGTAATCATCTGAGGTCACAATCTCCGTCGCGCCAACGCAAGCGTCAGAATGAAGGCACCCGTGAATCACCAGAGACTCCTCGCTCGATCGCCAGTGCCCGGCCCTCACAGGCAAGGAGGTCTGCGTCGCCCCGGGGAGCTCGCAGTCCACCCCCTCCGCGCCGTCGAGTAAGACACACTGCTCGCACGTGACCTGTTCCTCACCGTCAGGCATGGCGTACTCGAACGCCTCGCAGAGGTAGAAGGCCGTCTCTACCTCTAGCCCCACCCCAGCGGTCGCCGAGTCCGCGCTGGTGCCGCTACCGACAGTGGCCACCACGAATTGACTGATGAGGCCCCCGCCCACGTCTTGCTCAGTAGACCTCCCTGTGACGGAAATGGTCACGTTTCCGCCGGGGGGCAACACTCCGCTAGACGGGAGAGCATTCAGGTCCAGCTTTTCAGCCTCGTACGTCAGGTTCCAGATGGTGGGCGTAGTCCCGTTCGCGGCTGCGGAGACCGTGAGATCGAACTTAACCCAATCGGGGCGGTACGTCTCGTCCGGCAGATCGCCGCTTACGGTGAGGGTGATCGCCCCGCCGTTGTTTAGACACACGCCGTCCTCTAGGCACTCGCACAGCACCCCGAGATCGCTGCCTACGCACTCTCCCGGCCCACAGGCATTAACAGCGCCACAGCCCATGGCTTGATCGACGAGAACCAGCGAATCGTTCACCGTCTCGACGTTCTCGATCGTAAGATCGCCGACTAAGGCATTGCGTATCTCGGCATCTGAGTACGGTGAAGTAACGGCCATGGTTGTGGAGCTCTCGCTGAAGTCGCAGCTGTTGAGCACAAGAGAGCCAGCGCTGGGGTTTGCGTGGTAGAACACGGTGTCCCCCAGCCACCCGCCGAAGACGCAGTCCTCGGCAACGAGAGACGCCGTGCTGTCCGTGTGCACCCCGAAGATGCACGTTTCTTCCTGTAGGCCATCGGCCGACTGAAAGTTCACCCCTCTCATGACGACCGAGCTACCGCTCACGCCCAGAACGCTGCCCCCTGCGGTCGCAACGTTGTCGGTGACGTTATGGGCTTCGAAGTTAGCGCTGGTTACCCCAGTGAGGTACGTGGCGGCTCCCTGCGGGGCCCCGTTGCCGATCAAGTCACAGCTGGAGTTGACCCATACGGACGTCTCGGCGTAGATTCCGCCGCCTTTGTCGCCGGCATTATTGTCTTCGATCGTGGCTCCCTCGCAGGTCAAGCTGGCCTCTTCCTCTAGGTGCACGAACCCGCCATAGAAGCTGTTTTGGTCATCATCGACAGCAGTTAGATCAAGCAGATGAGGGCGTGGCGCTCGCACGGGCATGAAAAGCAGGCACCGATGTCAGGTACTCATATTCATCAAATGAACGCCGTCGGAGGGTCCGAAGCGTACACAATACCAGCCAAGTCTACCAGTAGCCCGCCCCCCGGCCCCCCGAAACGATTGGCCATCGGTGATCGATCCTGTGGGAACAATGCTCTGTCCTCTCCACGACATGTGGTCAACGATCTAACCGCTAAGGCATGCAAACATGAGTACTCCACCCCGAAACAAAATCGCACGCCAAAACCGCGCGCATGACCCGCCGGCAAGCTCACTTGGCGGAGTTGTTCCGAAACACGCCGCCCTTGATAGTCACCACGGTTGGATAGCCCGAAGCCGTGATCACCCCCCCCATGGTGAGCCCCTGGTTCTCGCTGAAGGTGCCTCCTTCGATCGCGACGAACGAGCCTCCTAGGCCGGTCGTATCCCCAGAACAGTAGATCTTGATAATGTAGACAGGCAAAGGGCGAAAACAAGGCTATATGTATTGCATACTCTCGTCGCAGCAAAAAAGGTGCAATAAATATACGCAAAGCATCATGCGCTTGGTCATGATATCCGTGAAGAATCACACTGGTACAACTTTCTTGAAATCGGTATGAACCGAGTGGCCGTGCGCGGCGATGCCTCCACAAAACCTCGTCGCACAGCACCATCGACCAGAGGGACACTCAAAAAGTCAGCAGGTGCAAGAATAAACCCGAAAATGGCAACAGCAACAACCATCAGCTGTAAGCGAGTTTCGCTCGGAGGCAGAGGCTCCGCTGGTGTTCCAAGCCCCGCTCACCACGGCCCCTCTCCCCGCGGCAACGTTTTCCGTGAACGTTCCCCCCGTGATATTGACCCGCGCGGAGTCGAAAGCGTACAAGACTCCGCCGTTCTTCGCCGCGGTACACATCGCGAACTCCCCCCCATGTACAGTGATGTCGCAGCCCCCCGACCCATCTGCGGGCCAAGGGCCGAGAGCGTGTCGGGCAAGCAAGGGGATACGTGTCGATATGGTCTCTTTCCCAGCTGTGGCTGTCATGTGACGTCGGTGCCGTAGTTCTGGCTCTTGGCATCTGGACTGGTACTGTGGGGTCCCACGGGGTCACTTTTCTCTCTCTTCTCTCTCCCTCTCTCTCTCTCTCTCTCTCTCTCTCTCTCTCTCTCTCTCTCTCTCTCTCTCTCTCTCCCTCTCTCTCTCCCTCTGCTTCAAGTCGGCCGGACGATACAAAATGCAAGATCTAAAACGCATATGTTATCTTCTTTTTCCCAGCAATCTGAGCTAAACGGCCTGATACTACAAACAAGATGGTCGAGAAGCGCGCATCGGTTGGCGGAAGACGAGTTTCGTCGCTTGCGACCACCTCTCCAGGCCACGGGGAGAGGTGTGGCTTCTGCGGGAATCTCGGCGAGAACACGCTGCGCCATAATGAGCCCTCAGAAACACCGTATGAATTCTTTCAACAAGCTAGAAGAATCGTGTCTGGGCACATGCCCGACTGTTTCAATGCAATCTTAGGAAATAGGTGCACAACACTTCATCTTAGGAAAATAGTCGCGGACGAGACTAGAGCTGTGCGTATGCTGCGTAGTTTTCAGATTATCCATCACCGGCTATCTGAGTGTCGCTCCATGCATGGGCCCACGATAAGCACCACTGGATAACAAGTCCTACGTCGTAACTTACATACGCAGCCCCCGTCGTCTAACGCGCTGTTCCCGCGCATGACCGCCCCATCGTTGACAATGCCCTTGCCAGCGGCGTAGTAGCAACCGCCGAGCCCTCCTGCGGTGTTGTCGCTGCACACAACGTCGTCGAAGACGACTGTCCCTGTCGGATCCCAACCGAACACCTGCGCAACCGGTTTGAGTGCCAACGAGGCAGTGTTAGTCCCAATCCTTCCGCAAATGTCAAAGCTGAACTCGATCGAAAGGAGTCACTTTTTGAGGCGCAAGGAGGAAAATGAAGACAAAGAAGTGAAGCCAAAACGTGCTAAGTCAGGTGCAGGTAGCACAGCGAGGTTAGAACGGGAATGATGACGTAGAGCCGAATATCTCATTTCAGGCGCATGTAGCACAGTAACGTTGTTAATCCATGTAGTCAAAGCTTACGCAGGGAAAGCAACGTACAACACACAATCTACCGTAACCGACGCAACCGGTTCCCACGCTGGGAAACCAGCCACGTAGCTTGTCTGTGCGCATCGGATAAAATCGCCGAAAACCTCTTGAGACAAAAACGCCTCAAGCGATCACAGAATATGGCAGTTAGAACATGAGGGTACAATTTGTAGAACAAAACATATAAACCCGACTCCGTACTAAGACTAATATAGTGGCTATGGCGAACCCCACCGACGAAACAAGAACTCCAGCATTGCGGCAAGAAAGGGGTTCTTCAGTGGGAAAGCGTACCGTATCAGGGCAACTCACCCCAGCGCCATTCTCCTCGGCAGAATTGTTCGTCAGCGTTGTGCTTCCTCCGAGTGTGGCGGAGCACGCAGCGACTGCTGCACCGTACCCCAACGTGGTGTTGTTCTCGAACTTGCAGCCATTGATGGCCATTTCCGTTGAATTCCCCCCGAACACCGCCCCACCCGAGAGCTGAGCGTAGTTCGATCCAAACACCGAGTCCGATATGTTGACCTCGGCATACCAGAATGCAGCCGCTCCGCCCCCATCAACTTCATCCGTGGAGACCCAGTATGAAGGATATTGGATCTCTGTCTCCCGGGAGGCGTTATTCGCAATGAACACCGCCTCACTGAGAGAGCAAGAAGAGGTGGCGTCGTTTGCAAACGCCGTCGTTTCATTCCCTCCGCAATACAGCCCGCCGCCCTCGACTGCCTTGTTGCCCTCGAACCGGGTGCCGTTTCGGATCACCAGCCCGGCGTCGGTGGTAAGAACGGCACCACCGTTCCCGCTGGCGCTGTTCCCGGAGAACTCCCCCCCGACTATCGTCAGGTTCCCGCCGTCCGCCCGCACGGCCCCTCCGTCTCCGGCGGTGGCGACATTGCCGTTGAATACGCACGTGTCGAGCGTTACCGATGCCATGCTGGATTCAATAGCGCCGCCGCTTGCAGCGCTTCCTCCCGAGAGCCGGAGATCGGTAAGCGTCAGGCCTCCCGACGATGAGACGTAGAACATCCGGGTCTGGCCGCCGCCCAGCACCTCCGCCGAGTCGTCTTCTCCGGTGATGGACAGAAACGTCCCCGCCCCGACAGAAATAGGAGCCGTGAGAGTAACCGTCCCCGCCCAAACGGCCTCCACCGTCCCGCCGTCCGTGCAGTCAACGGCGGCGCCGAGTACACCGGCTTCGGCCACGGTTTCTACTCGGAGCGGCGAGCTGCTGCCACATGTGGTCGCTACTTGCGCCCATGCTAGTGGCCCTCCCGTCGAGGCTAGCACCAGACATGAGAGCAGGCGGCGGCGGTACCATGCTCGTCGTCGGGTGCCGCGGGAGCTCCACCCCATGCCCTCTCTGCTGTGAACGTACCTCAGTTTTGCGAAGGTGGTTCGAACTGTGGAGTTGGTTTTCTCCTGTTTGGCGAACCGGGTCATGGAAACCTGAGATACAACCGTAAAAATGAAAAAAACGCACAAGATTCTGCATGTGTGGGGATAGATATGGTGGGCGGCGTTACCTAGACACAGGCGAAGTCGCATCAAGTAAGTTTATCCAAATAAACACTACAGCATGTTTTGTTCTTGAGTTCGTACTCGTGCAAGTCGCGACTACGCCCGCACACTTTCGGGCTGGCGTAGATACCAGTATGACGGTAGTCGCTACAGGTGATCTGCATGGTGTCGGCAACCTCGGTCGAAGACGTACACTACTACCTTTTGTCCGGCGAAAAATAAAACGATGCTACTCAATAAAAGCGGCTAAATGTTAGCGACGATACACTAGCAAGGACACAGACGCACGGACACGAGCGCAGCGACAGTGCCGGGCCACTCGCAAGAGACATCCTCACAGGGAAATCGAGGCTCAGAAAGTTTTGAAACGGACAGAGGTGGGTATAATGCCCACCTCTGTTGTTGGTAGTAACACCAGAGCAGAACAGCGTGGGTGTGCGTCAGGAGATATGATGGCCGGGAGCTTTTCGACAGGCCGAGAGCACCGTTCCGGCTCAAGACTCGCTTGCTCCAGGTGGAGGCGATGGAGACACTGCTGTACGGTTGCATGACATTGGCCCCACGTCGCGAACACTACCGGCTGTTGCGGTCGATGTATCACCGGCTGCTCCTGCGCGTTATCGGTTACCAACGCAAGAAGGGCACCTACCGGAAGCGTTCCTACGCCCAGACCCTGAAGAGGGTAAGGTGCCAAAGCGTGGAAGCCATTGTTCGGCAACGGCGCCTGCTGTTCGCGGGAGCATTGGCAACGCAGCCAGACGGGCGACTCCCGAAACGGTTGATGTTTGGCGAGCTGGTTGCGGGTGGAGGGCCCAGGCAGCGGGAAGCCGGAGCAAAAAAACTGGCACATGTGCCTGAAGGACGACCTCACGATGTTCAAGGCAAAGCACGGATCTACGGAGGCCGAGCCATGTTTCTCGGAGTTCCGCAAACCATTTGGACGGGAGCAGCAAAGATGGAGCGGGGTATACCGTGGCATGCGGGGGTAATGCAGGGAACTACGAGGTTCATGATCGCCTGGCACAAGGATGAAGAGGAGGCTAGCCGGCAAAGAGCGCTCAAACTTAACAACAAGCCCGCAACAGCACGGGCATGGCAACAACCAATAAGGCGGGAGGGGGGCAGCAGACGGAAGAGACGGCGAGGGAAGAAAGCAAACGAGAAGAGGCGGACCGAGTGGCGCGACATGTTGTGCCGGATTGAACCCCTTGATTTACTTATCCCCTACCCCCCCATCACTGCTCCATTGAACGAACCCTCCACGAGCGATGGCGTGCCTTTGCTGTCTCGGATAGTCCCTTGTTATTTTGTCCTGTTTTGTCATGTGTTGTTTGTCTCTTGTCGCTACGGTGGTAGTGGTTCTGGCGTGTGTCTTTCTCTTTTATCCCTCTCTATCTGCTTTTCTTTTTCATACAGTTTCGTTTCCAGATGATGACCATCTCCCTTTTGTTCTATGAAGTATCAAGATGTTGACTTCCAGTCTATGTTTACCTCGTCCTAGCGTGTAGAGGCGAGCGGAGGGTTCTTTATCTATCTGCCACTGATTTCTATCGACTTGCGGATCCTTCTGGTCCAATTTTATTTAAGGGTACCTTTTTGGGGAGTTAGCCTGTAAATCGACCGCGTCAACTGTTAGACTAGTACGGACAGATGGAGGTACTGGGTAGAGAGATCGGAACGGGATGTAATGTGAAGATAACAAGATAACAACAACAACAACAACAACAACAACAACTCGAAAATTGCTTTGTGGAGACCACTCGTGATAGGGCCGAACCACTCAAAATCTCATTCCGATGATGCCTGGACAACATGGTCAGGGCCCATGCACAGCATGAACAACATCAACGGACTTTCGGGCACGCGCCTTCATCCTACAGCAGACCGCCGCGACGCACAAGGCATCAACGGGTTGCCCGATTTTGTCCGATTCCTGGGGGTATAACTGACTGTAATCATTCGCATGTGTACACACTCTGTTACCAACGCAGATTGCAGAGACAGAGAGAGGCGTTGAAATCTGAGTTTTGTGAGGAGCGGAAGATGAAATATTTGTTGGCCAATCAGAGGGCAGCAGCACGGAGTCAGCGTGAAGTGTCTGAAACCTGACTAGAAGAGTAGACGTGGGTGCACTTGTTGGTCTGTCCCAAATAAGCAAGATAGCGGGAGGCTGCTGCAGCCAAGAGGTATTTTGGATGTCTATTTCTTTTCAGGTATATATGCATACTTCTGTGTTGTCGGTTATACCAACTTTTATCCCGCCGTTGTTGTCATTTTTTTTCTGTAGAAAAGTTCCCCCGTGTGGTGAACTGGACGCCGATTTCCCAACGAAAAATATCGACAACAGCAGCAGTGGGCACATTTCGGACAAACGTGGGTCACCAGAAGACAAAAGTGAGTATGCATACAAGAAAATAGTAGTAATTTTCGGTGGGTATTCCACTGAACCGAAATCGGGTATGTACCCGTATATGACACAAGATAACACACCTACATAAGAAGCACACCCCCCACAGAATACGACACCCCGGTGATAGTTTTGGGCGCTTCTGACAAACCATCGATTTATCACCGGGGGTACATAAGATAACACACCCCAGTGATATTTTTAGTTACGCCGCATATAGTCACGGGGCCCCTCCTTCTTTATCACCGGGGTGACAGCATCTGCCCTGGGCAATCACACACACAACCACGTCAGCTGTGTGCGGGAAACACCCCGCATGGAGACCCCCAACAACATGAACGTGCAGGCAGAGCAGACTGCAGCCGCAACTTCCTCCGCTCCTTCGACAACTGCTTCGACTGCAGCAGCGCAGGCGCCACAGCAGATCACCTCCTTCTTTGGGCCCGCGCACACCTCTACGCCGCCAAACACACGCTGTGGGTGTTCGGACGCGCTATCACACACCCTGTTTTATCACACCCCCTTAGGGGCCCCTGCGAGCTGCACTTTATCACCCGGGGTACACAAGATAACACACACCCCACAGGATACCACACCCGGTGATAAATTTTCAAACTCCAAAATGTTATCACCGGGGTGTGTTATCTTGTGTCATATACGGTGTATAACCCGGCCATGTGTTCCGCGGGGAATGGATGAATGTGGGGTGAAGACGCAAGAAGTACGTCCGTGAAAGTTGATGTTTATGCTGCTGTGCTGGTATGAGACCAACTAACTACATGAAACCGTCCAGCGGTCAAAGCTTTGTAATACATAGAGACCTCCTGTAGATTATTTGTTCGCGTCCGTTTCTCACAGTTTCTCACGCTGCTCGCCTGTATCGTAAATTTTTTGTGCGTAGGTAGGTCTACATTTAGAAAGAGAGTCGTTGGCTGTGTGCAGTGCTCCCTAGACAAATTAAAACGCAACCTCTTCTCATGAAGCAGTGCAGTAGTGTAGGGCAGATGGGTAGTAGGGGGACCTCAGGGAGAGGAGCCCTTTCCCATGTTGCCACGGAGCGCTCCTACCGGGCAGATATGCATGTAATTATGCATACAAATGACACCAAAAAAATAAAAGTGGTTTACATGTCAGTCGTTCGTGAGAGTACGACGTGAATGGGCAACCAGTAAATACTGCAGATACACTCGTGTGATACACCACATACGCCATGGTTAGGTTGTGTTGGCGGCGTTGTGGTTATCATTCTATACAGACGGTGGTCTGAACTGGCAGAGCACAACAATGGCGGCACAGCAGTTGTGATAGCCCCAACGGAACAAGAAAAAATGCATTATTATTATTATTATTAGCAGCAGCAGCAGCAGGGCGTTTCAGTTTTGGAGGAAGCCTGCTGGTCTGCTGGTGCGCGCACACACACACGCCGAGGCACACACACTTATTTATTACTGGGCTGGGTGGTTGGATCAGATCGTATGCTCCATCGCAAAAATGCAACTCCTCACCGTTCTATGTTGGTTGTCAGACTGCGCGGCCGGCTTCCACACAACGCCGGCCTCCCCGCCTCCATGTGAGTCGGGATAATAGGAGTATATCTGCAACTTCCGTCTCTCGCGACACGCACAGGCAGGTAGGAGGTGGCTCGTGGTTCTCCTGCCTGAGCAACAGGCAGCGACCTCAATCCTCAAACCTATCTCTCTGCAGGGGGCAGTAGGTTGTCCGGCGTGCGGCAGTGTGTATCTAAAGCTGCTGTGTATGTATGCCGTTGTGGTGTCAGAACACCAGGCGGTAAAATCGTGGGGGGCTTCAAAGCGGAAAAAAAAAAAACTATGCCAGAGAGCTGTCCGAACGAAAATGCTGGAAACTGGAAACAAGCAATGGTTGACACGACGGGCACGCGTGGGTCGGTGGCATCAGAACAATAATTAAGGAATAATAAAAACACACACAGAAAGACTACCCATTCGAGATATACCCACAGTCGAACGGGATGTGGTGGAATCGGTTATTTGTAGATTTGTAGCAGGTTTCGTCCGACCTGTCATGAATAAGGTGATCTGTGCACGCACACGTCCGGGAAGTGCGAGAGCGTACCCAAATTGGAAAACTTTTCATCTTCCTGTTGGTAGAGTGGCTGGGGCACCTCTGGATGTTTGGTCCGGCGTTCGCGATGTCGGACGTTTTTGACGGTTGAGGTACCGTTTCGGGATGGAATGCGGTGGGTTTACTTTGGGGACGGGTTCGGACTTCGGACTCGCCGCTCGCCACTCGACAACTCGCCATTTTTTTTTTCCGGCAGCGTGGGCTTGTTGTTAGCTTATATGCATACCCTGTAGTAGGGTCTTCCGGGGGGGGAATAAGGGCGGGACCTACTACATAACCCTCCTTCTGAAAAGATAAGGGACATGTGGAAAGGTAGTCGGCATCCTCGATTGATTAATTGGTTGATTTTGCCCATCACGCATGCACCACGGTCAAAAAAAAATCCTGGAAAGATCTGATGCCACCGGGGTCC